AGGAGCAGACGGCGGGCGAGCTGAGACATGCGGCGAGAGCGCATACCCCCCATACGGCTGATATACGCCACCGCCGCTGTACTGTCCGTCCTGACCAGCATGTGTTGCTGCTCCAGCACCGGAAATAAACGGTGGAGAGCGAGGAACACTGCCAACAGCTCCAGGCGATATGCCAATGCAACTGGGTACCTTTCCACAGGTCCGCAGCCGCATGCCCGCAACGCACAGCCCCCCAGCCCATGTTGGAAGCGTCTGCTGAATTTACAACAAGACTGGACGCCTGTTCTAGAGACACCCAGGCCTGTAGGAACGAGGGGTCGCTCCAAGGGCTGAGGGCGCGGCGACACAGCGCAGTAACAGAGACTCGGTGTGCGCGCACGTGCCATGCGCGTCTGGGGACTCGATCGTGAAGCCAGTGCTGAAGTGGTCTCATATAGAATAATCCGAGCGGCATGAAGCGGCTGCGGATGCCATATGCCCCAGGAGCCTCTGAAATAGTTTCAGTGGGACCACTATTTTACTGTCGAGCTCTCTCAGACAGTACAGCATCAGCTGAGCGCGCTCTCCGGAGAGGCGCGCTGCCATGGTGACCAAGTCCAGCTCCAGCCCGAGAGAAGAGATCCTCTGCACGGTTGCGAGTTTGCTCTTTTCTCGGTTGACCTGAAACCCCAACAGGTGGAAGTGCCGGAGCACTTTGTCTCTGTGCATAATCAATTGCTCCGAGAGAGGGCAAAAATCAGCCAGTCGTCAAGAAATTGAGTATGCAGATGCCCGCGAGCCGAAGGGGCGCTAAGGCACCCTCCGCGGGCTTGGTGAGGACCCGCGGAGACAGAGAGAGCCCGAAGGGGAGGGCTTTGTATTGCCAAGCTTGACCTTCAACGCAAACTGCAGAAACTGACGGTGGCGAGGAAGAGTGGAGACATGGAAATACGCGTCCATCAGGTCTAATGCTGCAGACCAACCCAGAGGACGAACGCACCGGAGGATGCGCTTCTGCGTGAGCATTCTGAACGGCAGCTTGTGCAGACAGCGGTTCAAAACGCGCAGATCTAGGATTGGCCGCGACCCACCGCTCTTTTTGGGCACGATGAAGTGTGGGCTGTAAAACCCGCTCTCCATCTCGGCTGGAGGGAGCGGCTTGAGCGGCAGCAATCTCCTCTCGCAAGACAGGGGCGGACAGGGGGCTGACCCTGGTGAATACACACCCGTGACTTGGGGGGCCGTTTCGCGAACTGAATCGCATAGCCGAGTCTGATTGTGCGTATGAGCCACCGCGAAGAGCTGGCCCGCGCTAACCAGGCAGGCAGAGCTCTCGCTAATGGTCTCATCGCTACAATCGCTGACGTACAAGCAGTGGGGCAGCGCGGAGTGGGTGTGCTGATCCGGGAAGCGCGCGGGTCCCACGGAAAAGCTGGAGGTGAGATACTTGCTCTCACTCCGCACCCAAGCTCCGGAGGGGAGGCTCGAGGGGTGGGAGAAAGGAGACCGTCCTCCCAGCGCTCGTGAGCCACTGGCGAAACGCACCGAATCTGCAAGCTAGAAAGCATAGCGTCCTAGACTGGCAGATGTCGGGCTGTCACATCCGGGGAAGTGGAAAAGTGCCCTTTCATAATGTTTTCATGGCAGTAAAAGGTGCCGTTGGAAATGGGGCCCCGCCCTCCAGCCCAGACCGCCGATAAGACATCACCCATCAACTGCTCTCTCACCGCCTTGAATTCCTGGGTGAATTCACAGACGGTGTCGCCGAACATGGCTTGGGATATGGGGAAAGTCAAGAAAGCGGACTTTGTCGACTTCGCGCATATCAGCCAGGGGTGGCGCTCCTGGATCACTAATGTGGACATCGTCCTCCCCAACGCACATGCAACGGACTCAGTAGTTCGAAGAGCTAAGTCGGCGGCGGTGCGAAGCTCGTAAGCCTGGGTTGGACCCACCCTCGTGCAGCTCGGCCAGAGCATGCAAGGCGGAAGCAGCCTGGCCCGCAGCTATGTAAGCTCTAGCTCCGAGGGAGGCAGATAACTTACAGGCTTTGGATGGGAGACGAGGCAGACCCCGCCAAGAAGAGGCGCCGCGCGGATTGACCACCATCGCGCACTCAACCTGAGGAATCGCCACATACCCCCTGGCTGTTCCACCGTCAAGAGTGGTGAGGGTGGAGGGACACGCAGCACGAGCAGAAAAAAGTGCTTTTCAAGACCGCGTGAGCCTACTGTGCACCTCCGGGAAGAAGGGAACGCCCCTCTAGTCGGTCCGGCCGCGGAGCTGGGGGATAAACCATCTCCAACGCACGGCCGAAGCAGCCTGGGAAAGCACAGCTAACATGTCCGTTTCAGGATCCGTAGTGACAGCGCTCACCAGCCCGAAGGGGGCGAGCGGGTCTGGATCATCATCGGACAATGAAAGCCCACCCTCCGATGCCACGGTGGACGTCTGGTCTCCAGTGTCATCGGGCGTAAGGGCTACCATCTGTTAGACGGATCGCTTCCCCCGCCCGAAGCTTGGATGGAGCGCTTAGAGGAGCGGGAGGTCCGCGGGCCCGTGGGCGACGGATTATCTCTCGCTGAAACCCTCAGATCTGCCCGAGTGCCCGCTGCAGAGCAGGGGACAACTGGGGTGGTTTGCAAAGGCTAGCCGCGATCTTTACTGCGCAACAGTCATTGAGACTGGAGGACCGGACCCAAAGAACACCAGGCAAGGGAGAAACCCAGCTCGACCGTTTGCCGCTGCGTGTGCACACTCTGGACCGGGAGAATGCTCTCGTTCGCTCAGAATCGCTGGTCACAGCAAGAGGAACCCTCATCAACTCGATCAGAAAGTCTCTGAAGCGAAAAGGATGGCGTTTGCTCGCTCCAGGTGTGCTTATATGCTGGGATAATTGGCAATGAAGTACACCTGTGCAAGCTTACGCTGCCAATTCATTGCATTCATTGGCCCGTTCAATACTCTTTCAGACAAGCGGCTTCTGAACCGAATCCTCCCATTTCGTGGATTTCAATCAATCCACTCTATGGCACTGAAGTTCCCCAACCGAAGGGGAACAGAATATGTGTGTTCTAGAGTGATGGTCGTCACGTTCTACCGCTCCGGTGGCAGGCACAACCGCAGTGGCACTTGACCACTGTCAACCGGTGACGCGGTTGTCATGGTGACCGTCACAGCCCTTACATATGATATTGCATACATTTGCATATATGTTTTATAAGCTATAAAATGAAAGCCTCAGTTTGGTGCGGAGTTAACATTATACAAAAATCAGGAAAATCTTTGAATTTGTGTTATTCGTAGATTGTAGGCTATTTTAAAAGCTGATATTACATAAGAACTATTAATAACTGTAATTTTCCAAAAGAAAAAAAGGTTGGTTTGTTGGTTGTAGCCCACCCTAAATCATCAACAGCCTGTTTTTTAAGTTTATTAAGTGGCTCCACACAGCACAGAGGTGATCAGCATCAGCGCTGGTTAATGTCAACTCATCTGTGTGAAACTGTGACCGGAAGAGCCGTCACTAGAAAACGACTTAATCAGCTGGTGTGTGTGCGAGTCGAGTTGCTGTTGATGTTATGAATGTAATTTTAATTATATTGTGATATTCAAGATCAGTAAAATAATACAGCTCTGGATAACTTGAAAAAGCGACCACAAGTCTCTCCTCCATCTTTAAAAGTTTGCCATAGTCGCCTTGACAACCCAACCCAACCCAACCCCACTGTCACCTCAACAGAAACCCTGCTGTGTTTTCATTTGACTGAAGAATGAAAAAGATTGAGGTAACACGCTCAAGTACACAGCGGGAAACGGAACAACTTGAGGCGCACAGAGCGAGCATAGGCAGATCGTAAAACACTGGCGGCCGTCAGTAAACCATTAAACAGATGCCCTTTATGCGGCCAAACTTAGAAAAATATAAAGCATATTTTTTAATCATTTAATTGATACCATTAATCGGTCACAAACGCGCCCTTTCGGTAAACGGTTTATCGGTTATTTTGTGCATCCCCAATTAAACCGCATGCGCAAGCTCTAAAAAAATTTTTTCTCTCACGGCCGCTCGCCGGAGATCTGGCATGGTGCCGGAATACATTAAGCCCTGAATAAATCATTTTATGAATGTTGTAATGTTTAAATAATTTTCAATTTAAAACGTGAAGGTCACATGACCATCAGGAAGAATGCAGCATCTTATTTCTCACAGAACGCATGTTCTGTTCTCGTGGTCTCCCGAGTTCGTTCTTCCGAGGACACCTGGCAAGACCGGTCTCCACAAGAACACAAGTCTGTTCTCTGCGTTCTTGGAATTGAGAACAAAGTCAATTTTTCTGGAAAATGATGGTGGCCACACAAAATATTGACATTTCACATTTTCACTTAGGGGGGTACTCACTTTTGTTGGCAGCGGTTTAGCTATTATTGGCTGTATTTGTAGTTATTTCGAGAGGACAATAAATTTACATTGCTATACACACTTTACACTGACTACTATTCATTGTGTCAACGAGTCATTTCTGCACTGTTGTCCAATGAAAAGATATAAACAAATATTTGCAGAAATGGGAGGGGTGTAGTCACTTTTGTGACATACTGTATATACATACATACATACATACATACATACATACATACATACATACATACACACACACACATACATACATACATACATACATACACACATATATATATATATATATATATATATATATATATATATATGTATGTATATATATATATATATTCATACATACATACATACATACATACATACATACATACATACATACATACATACATACATACATACATGTACAAATAGTGAGATATAATATGGAAATGATCAAGTGAAATCTCACAAAGAATCAAACATAAGCTTAAACAGACACTGATGACAGACATTTTGTTTACACTGATATTAGCAATGTAAAAAAAAAAAAAACAGCTGCAAATGATTCTGACTTTAAAGGCTAAAAACTACACTTTGACTTTGTCTGTAGTATTTTTTTTACCTGATGTACTCCTTGACTTTTTTGAAGATCTTTCAAGGCCGTCTCTGCTTTGGATTTGTCCTCTAAAGCACACATGGCCTACAATTCAACAGTTAAAAAGATTATTGGTATAAATAATAACGTTCCATAAAATGGTCCACAGATTATCTGGACATTTATGCTGCATTCACACCAGACATGGTTGACGCTTTAATGCAAAGACGTGAATGAAATTCAAGCAGCACAACATGTGCAAATGAGGCAGCACGAATGATGCGGTTGATGCAAATTAAGTGGTGCGAGTTTCACACAATTGACGCACTTGACGCATTTAACACGCATACTGCTCAAGTTGAAAAATCTGAACTTCAGTGGACATTCGCACCATGTTAACCAATTATGAGCGTTGTCTTGTAGGGGCGTGATTATAACGTAGTGCCTGTTGTTGGTTTTCCACGAGAAAATCCTTCTGCCGACACCGGGCAACAATTAATCAAACTGGGCTCGCCTCAGTCAGAAGCACTGCTGAAAGTTTCCATCATCCAGATATAGTTTCTGTAGGAGTTTATAAACTCTCAGAGATGGGTGCATGAATGAAGCGAGTAAAGTCAAAATTTTCATGCGTCTATTTAGGTGTATATAACATGATTTATTTATGCGTCTAGTGTGAACACAGCATTAAAGAGACAACTATTCCAAGTTGAAATATAAAATATCATGTGGATATTTTAAAAGAAACTTGGCATAAGTATACTTTTTTCAGCAAAACATATGTCAGTTTTTTTAATATATAAAAAAACACTGCTTTGGGTACAAATACTTTTTGGGTATACAGTAATAGAATGATGTGCAGGGCTCGACAGTGCGACAATTTCACTTACATTTGTGTCTCTAAATATATCTGTTAGAGAAATTGTATTTTGTTGCTCATGAACAATTTTATTATTTTTTTATGTTTAAATAAGCTTGACTGATCATGTAATTCACCTGGTCATGGTAAAAACAACACATACTTTAATAAAAGTTATGGTGTATTACATTGGAATCCATTGTGATTGTACCACGCTCTCAACAATACATATCTACTGGGTCACTTCATATCATGTAGTCTTTTTACATTGTTTTGATTGGGTTGCTAAGCAATGCAAACTGACGCACAATTCACTTTGACTTGGTGATGTCAAGCATTGCCAAACTGAATTGTGGATCTATTGACATTGTGTCATCGACGTTGCTTGCTGCAGGAATTTCGCTTTCTTTTTTAAGCACCAATGAAAGCATCAGCCTATTAGATCACTTTATAAAAAAAATTACCCCAGCTCAGACAGTAGTCATTTGCATTCATACAGTTCAATAGCTGTAAACGAAGCATACATTTAAAATGGAGAGAAAACGTATTATTGCGGTGGGCAATCACACGTCCTTTATGGCGAATCTTCATTAATATACCAAGATTTGCACCAGAGAGAACGGGTGTGAAAGGAGGTGGCTGAGGTGGTTGGTGAATCTGATGTGTATTGGAGCCGTGAATGAGAATTTGTTGAGATCTAGTCTAACTTGGTTGACACTGCTACGATGATTGCATCAGCGACAAGCTTCACGCTCTACGTTAAGGGTTGACGATGACACTCTCTGTAAATGGCATGTGTAGTGCACAGCCCAATTTAAAGCATTCACTTTTTTTCACAACTACAATACGCTTTGTCTGCAAAGTAACAAATTTTATTATTGAGCACAACTAACAATAAGTAAAAGAGAATAAAATGCGAGTATGTAGATTCCTGATTGTGGCAAATTTTCCAACTGTTCAATACTGATGGTGACTGGCTACTCTTTGCTCTTATTTATTGATGAATAAATAAATAAATATTCTTTGATTTTCTTTTCAGCTTACTCCCTTTATTAATCTGGGGTCGTCACAGCGGATTGAACCACCAACTTATCCAGCAAATGTTTTACACTTCCAGCTGCAACCCATTACTGGGAAACATTTTTACACACTCATTCACACTTATACACTACGAACAATTTTAGCTTGCACAGTGCTAGCACAAAATGCAAATTGATTGGTCAGCTGTCAATCACTCAGTTCTGATGACAGGGAGCTACAGCCACAAAAATGTAAAGGTCTGGATACGAGAAAATGAAAACAACACTGACAGAGTTAATTTATTTAGCAATACATAGTTTTGTAACATTTTAACTTCTTATTACATATATATTTATCACATCTGGTTTATATGTTAGTATTTTTGTTGGTGGTAAGACTGTAGAGATCGCTCTGGTTACTAAGGTAACCCTCAGGGAACAGAAATGCTATAAGTGGATTTAATCCATGTATGGGGATTTCGATCAGAAAGCCAATCATCTGAAAGAGTATGTAAACGGGCCAATGAAATGCCAAATGAATTGGCAGTGTCAACTTGCGCACCTGCTTCTTGTTGCAATCAATTTAGCATAAAAGCACAGGGAAAGCCAGAAGACACATCCTTTTTAAGCTGAAGAGACTGATACCTACAGCTAAGGAACAATCATTATGGCTATGCAATATAGCATTTCTGTTCCCCTCCTCGGGGAACGAGTGTTATATTAGTAACCAGAGCGTTCCCCTTCAGATGGGGAACTCCAATGCTATAAGTGGAGTGATGAGTGGATAGCCAGTCATAGCGTGAGCGCACCTGCATCATAGAAAGGCACGGTCTTCCAATGTGATCCCTGGCCCTTACTTATCCCACTTCAAAGAAGATTAACGGATTTAGATATATTTTTCGGGAGCTGCAAGTGTCTAGATAATTTCTAGGAATATAAATATGACAGTAGGTTGGGAAAGCGTGCAGTCCTAAAGGTAAGGACGCTGCGGAAGCCACCTGCTACCCAAATGGGGAGATATGATGGCAGAATATATGGACTAGCCCTGAGAAGGGAGAGTACGCATATCTTCAATTTATCATCACTAGTCATGATAAATTGAAGATATAAGAAAAATACATTACATAACTGGCCATTGGATTTAAATATAAACATCTATGAAGTAGAATTAATGTGTGTATTAAGAAGCAATCAGTAAGTGAAATCAGCTTAGGACAAGCTTTAATCAACAAACAGGGAAGACAAAACCTCAAATTCAAGAAAAATTTAAATTTAAATTAAAATTAATAAACATATTAGTGAGTGAGAGAAGAGTAACAGTTAAAAATGGCAGCAGCAGCATCCTTTGTGCCCCTCCTTCGTAGCCAAACCATCCCATGCCCACACAGAATAAAGAGTGTAAGAGACAGGAAGACATACAAACACCAACTGCTTAGACAGCAACTGTCTTTACAAAAGTTGTGTGTAGGGGAAAACATGTCAAACTTAATGACACGTTTTATGGCTCAAAGGCAGAGCCTCTCTCGCGTGCTTTAGGTGTCACCCTTGGGCACTCGCTTATGCTCGCTCCCTCTGTTTTCGTGGCACTTGCTATCTCTAACGGTGCTGCGCGCATCAGTTCCCCACATTCGTCAGAAGTTGACGCCCAAATAGACACAGGTAATAAAAAAAGATTAAACTTTAGTCATGTTCATGATGTAAAACAATAAAAATGTCCACCGTTGATGATATTAGACTTAGGTTTTCAACACTTTTTAACACGATTTTAACACTTTAATATAGGAAGTCCTCGGCTATGCAGAGACCATTATTAATCAGAAATCAAATGTACATAGTTTCACGTTTGGAAATGCAGTCTTGAATTTACAAACAGTCAGCAAAACAAAGTAAACAAGCAGTAAACAAAGTCCCTTTAAGTATTTTACAGTTTTTTTAGATTAAAGTGAAATTTAGACTTAATCAGTTAACTACGAAAGTAACAATAACTAGTCTAATTATTTTGGAACTGATTTGTTGTGTAAATCAAATATATACAGTAAACAAGAGACAGTAGCATAGTCCATTACACAAATGGCAATTAAAGCAAAAGAGATTTTTTGAATCTTCAAAAATAATCCTCTTCAACCCAGAACAGATTTCCAGCCGTGGACTATACAGAGACTGAACACAGAAATCTCACGTACAGTAGATGTGCTGAAATACCAAACATTTACATTGCACATCACCCTACACTGGGCATTTACCATCTTCAAGACCACATCCATCTGCATAGAGACAATGTGCATGTGTTTGCTCTAAATCTTAATAGGTTGCTCTTGGTCATACCCCAGACAGTATGTTCACAAAACTGTTCACAAAAAACACGGTTTGGTTCGATACACCACAGTGGTGTCACGGTTCGATATGTTTTCGATAGAGCAAAAAAGGAAAAAGCCAGAGGATTTATCCGATTACATTTTTTTTATGTATTAAAAATAACACCATAAAAGTTTGATCTTGTTTTTTTTTTCTTTTACTTTAAACAGTGACAGAGCTATACTTCAAAAGAACAAATCATTTTTTATACTCAAAACCAAACAGCCGCTTATAAAAAATAAATGTAATATTGTAGTAGTTAAACAAATAAAAAGAAAAGAATAATTTAGTTTTTATATGGACCTCAGTTTCAATCAATTTTTAAGTTTTTTTTTTTTTTTTCAGAAAGATGAGTGTCCACCTTTTCTTCAGAAAGTACAGATCTGCTTGATTTGATTGTCACCTGCCATTTTAGTGGATTTTAGTCTGACTGAAATAGGCTTATAACGAAATAATGTAACAGGGCTCTATTACATTTAAAATTTTCTTAAAACCCGAAATTTCCACTACCGATTAGGATCTCTCATATGCACAGCCATAAATGTATAAATGCATAAATCGCCTCGGTGATTTGTTTTGCCCTGATCGAATCTGTAGGAATTGCCTGTCTGAATGCTGTTCCAGTTCCAGTTCGTGATGTCAGTGTAAATGAGTTGATATGCGCAAATTTAACAGCTAAAATAGCTTACTGTCTTAACATGTTTTTTTTTTTTTTCCACCACTCAAAGTATCTGATGAGCAAAAGTATCTGAAGAGCGGTGGAGGCGTGTGCGTGCTATGTGTGCGGGGGGTTGAGTTGTGCCCAACGTACCTTAAGAGCTGGGTGGAATGCGTTGGAGAAGGGTGATATGCTGAGTTCAAAAGCAATTTATTTA